TTGGGTTATGTGTATTATAGTGTATTATATATATAATTATATATACGGTATATATGGATTTGTCTGAAATTGGGTTCAAAATTAGATGGTTTGTCATAAGTGTCCAAAGTCAAGCTGGAATTTTGGAGGCTTCCCCCATTGACAGACCCAAGTGGCTATAGCATTCTTGGGGGGGCAGTTTACCTCAAATACAATGCTTGGAGGCCCTTCATTTCGCCCAGCACAACGTTTAAGATTTTTAAGGTTTTAAGGTCAAAGAATTAGGGTTTAGGTGTTTAGGCTTTGGGATGCTTTAGGCACTTCCTTTGATTTTTCCATGTGCTTCAGGGTTTTTGGGAAGGCCTCCGCATGACTTCAAAGCCAGCGCCTGGCAATCCTCGACCGTACTTGGGACGTTCGAGAGTCCTGAACCCAGTTTGATGGAGCCGCAGGACTGACTCTTGCGCATCGAGAGGGGCTCCTCCTAAAGCGGCTGTTCCCAGACCAAACAGGATTTTCCAGCCACGTTTGATCAGGGCCAGATTATCCATATGGATGCACATGTTTAAGCCCAAAAATATGCGAAAGTCATCGAAAAACCCTCCGTTTTCTGCGGTTGAAAAAGCGATAAAAACGAAACCCCCAACCAGTCATAGAAAAGTGTGTCCTGTTCTGCTGTCAAAAAGCGCCAACTCACCGCAAACAACTTTACTCGACTATTTAACCAAACCAAAGTCCATCTGGGTGCCAATGTTTCACCCTGTAGAGTTTGGAACATCGTTAAATCATGGTCCGAAATGGGAACAAACAATTCAGTCATGTCGATTTATGAAACAGGCAGAATCTTCATGGCCAGGCTTAGATACGCAGCAAATGGGCTATGCTATGTATAATCCGAGCTGGGTACAATGTTCACCCATGTACTGAATGGACATTGCCCTACGAGTCTACTTTCCAGGCAATCTTGCGAACAAACTTTGAAACATAGCTATTATATACAAGTTCTTACATGCCGTTAGTATGATCGTCAATGTGGTGTACAGATGTGTACAGGGGAATACAAGCTCAATGTAATCAGATATGTAAAGTCTGGATAGGGATCCGATTTTCAATGGCAGGTCCTCCACACTCAAAATTCTACCCACCTAGAATCCCAAGCAAACAGAAACGAATGGTGTCAGGTAAATTCATGTTTGTTTTGGGTGCCTAAATAATCTCGATCCAACCCCAGACCGCCCAGACCCCCATTGAAAAAAGGCATCCCTCTAAAAATATCATGTCAACCCCGGATCAATAGACCATGGTGCCATGGTTTATTAATAATGGGGTAGCCTCCAAATAGTGACAATATGATACTGAAATGGTCCCCCCCAGTTCAACAGCCGTTTGGGGTTTATTAATCCCAGGGTTGTTACTGGTGTCGCCAGACCAACAGCCGCATTTTCACAGGAAAACCTCTTAAACCACACATAAAAATATGCATGCATTAGATTCTAATCAACCAAGAGTCAGCACTTTCTGAAGTGGCCAATTAAAGAAAAGTAGCAACAATCCATAGTTCTGGGTAAATTAATTCACAGAAACTGGGCAATACTGTGATCATCCAGTTTCCCTCTGGTGAAATAAGGTAAATGTGGAAAACCCGCCATTTGTAGTGTGTTTTTTTCTGAGGGAGACCCTGGGTTTTCCACATCTATGTTTGTTTAGCCCAGGGTATAACTGGGGTATACCGCAACTTTTTTCACCTGGAGTGTTGACTACTTGGGCTTGGACCTGCTTAAGACTCATCTTGGGTGCCAGATCCCGGTTCCAGCAATGCTCCGATCTGCAGAAGTCATCGTATTTGGTCAAGTTCATATAAGAATAAGTGCCCCCGAATTAATCAACACCCACAGTCCAAACAATGTTTGGCAATACTACTTTGGTCCCTATTAAATTTATTAATCAACATGTGCGACCCCCCTATTAAACAACACCCTGCTCAGAAATCCTAATTTTGTGGTAGTCAGGATATATTATGTTTTAATGGTTTTAATTGCTTTAATGATTGAAAAAGTAATGTTTTGAAGCGATGTCCCATGCCCAATCTCACCATCTCACCCCATTGGGAGGTTGCCACTGAAAAGAGAAATCTCGAGCCTTGTCAGGCAGGTTGGTTGTATTTTCATGTATGACAAGCCCTAGTATTTAATTGGGGGGGACTCTTACCTTCTAGGGGAAGGCTATTAAATGTTCTTAATTAATACGAACTTGGCATTTTTCAAACATGTTGGATGTTTAGTTCAAGGTCCCCCTAAAAAAAGGTAACGTAACTAACCCCCTAAAAATACCATGGAAAGGTGTGAGAAACCAGGATGGTAGAGAGCATCCAAGTTGTTGACAGCTTCGCTTGGCCTGTACTTCATGGAACTCGAGAAAGGTGTTCTTTACACTGATCCTGAGTGGAGAGCCAATCTAAATCAATGGGTCTTTTTGCAGTCACAAATGCGAATCAAAAGGGTGGCTTATCCACGGGTGAACTATGGTAGCAATAGCCACAATTAAATTGGTTGGGGAGGTCATAGAAAATCATCTTGGGTAGCACGTTAGCCATTTCGCCCAAAGGAAGTTTGGTTGAGAAACTTGCAAGTTACGGACAAAGGCCAATGGCTATAGTTTTCAGATCACCAATTCAACCGCGATAAACCGCGCAGGCAGCATCAACAGTTGGCAAGTTGACACAGGAAGTAGTAGAAACTCTATGAATCACGGTATACTACGGTAACATGAGTCTGCTGGGTCAGAAAGGAAGTGCTCCAAACCCCCCGGTGTTTTTGCAAGTTTCGCCGCTGGAGCGGTCGCCAAAAAAGGGTCTGTCTTTCCGCTGCTGTGCAGCACTGGGAAATCTGTCTGGAAAAAAGGCACCAGACTGTAGCGCTGGCGGTTTCTGTAATACTCTCAATGGAAAGCAATTAATAAGTTTAAAAAAAAACAACCCACGAACCCAAACGCAATTACGTAAACAACTTTTAAGCGAAACAAGTTATATTTCAACCGTCTGAGTCTTGTATATTCTTCCCCTGTTACCGTAGCGTATAAACAGTGGAGTGTTGAGTGGGGAGTGTAGTGTGTAGAGTGTAAAGTATAGAGTCTGGAGTGGAAAGAGTAGGGTGTAAGGTGTGGAGCGTAGAGGGTGGAGTACGTATTAAATACGGAGTGGGGACTGGGAACTGTATAGTGTGGAATAGTGTGGAGTGTAGACTGTAGATTCTAGCTGAGGTGCTGCGCGAACAGAAAGACAGCTGCAAAGAAGAGGCGCCTCAGAGTAGCTGGGGTTTCTAGAGGTAGCGCAGAGAAGCGTTGCTTAACGGAAGAAGTAACTCGGAGAAGAGCCAGCTCAGAGAAGATGCGGCCAAAAGAAGAGATATCTCAGGGAAGAAGCTCAGCATAAAAGTTGCCCAGACGGGACTTGGCCCTGGGAAAACGATGTGTCAGGAGAGGTGGCGAAGAGCTGCTTCAGGGAAGATTTGGCCAAGAGAATCAGGGCTGAGAGAAGAAGTTGCCCAGAGGAGGAAGGCTCATTCGTCATTCTGCCCTTGAGTCGGTAGTCCGTATCTCACGCGTTATGGATCACTTATCAAGTCAGCCATGCAATCGTTCAGCTTCCGCCCCGGCGGGGACAGGCACTGGTCTTGGGATGATAAAATCAACATATATAGTGAGGGTCTTGACTCTTGACCAATAAGAAATGGGAATGAAACAACAAGAATCTTGAAATTCTTGGGGAATCAGAATTTAGCTATCCATAGGCCGTTCGTTGATCAAGGGGATATCTCCAGCAAAGAAAATTTCTGGCTCATCCAAATGCAACACCTGGATCTCAGTGGTATGGATCCAACAGGATCCAACTCCCGGAAGTCACCGGGTGAATTCAGAAAACAACATGTTTACTCACCTCACTGGGAGATCCCCAGGTCTCAAAATTGGGGTCCAATCTAAAAATTCCTTCGCCTGACATACAGTACATATATGTACATATAACTGCCATTAACTCCTCTCTTGGAGTATCACCCTATTTAGTAACTGAGTTATGTGTGCGGGCTTAGTTTAGTTTCCCCAGTCTGTCCAGTCATTAAATGGATGATGCTATAACCCATAGTCATTGGCTTCAATCTTCGCTGCGAGCTGATGCGGGAGACTCCCGAGCCAGGGCCCAAGAAAGTACATAACCCATGATGCCTCAGGATATGGAGGTTTCCTAAAATGATGGGGTACCCCATTTATCATCCATTCTAATAGGATTGGTCCATTAAAAAAACAACAACAACAATCCAGCTATGGGGGTTCCTCAGGATGTGAGGACCTAAGACCACCAGGCTGATCAAACGGATGGGCATCCCAAGGCTCATGGATCAACACCCTGGCACTCTGCGTACCCTAAACATCCCTAAACCATCTGGCTAATGGATGTTGATTCCCGCAAATACATCATAATAATACGTAGCTTTTGACCCATCCCCAAAATTCAACATTGGATACTGCTCCAGCGGACTCGCGCCCTGTGTCGATCTTTCAAGCCCTCGAATGTTGATTCCCATACGTCGCCACCATCGTCATGATCAGGGCTTATCAAATAGTTCTTAGCTATTTATCAATTTTTATCAACATCACCCAGTTACTGCCAAAAAATACATATATTGGATGCTACCCATGCCTACCCTTCACCAGTAGATCGGTGTAAATACTCAGATACCCATCTAAAACTCCGAGCATCTCATACTTGACAGCATCAGCCATGCGAATTTGCTGCATGTTGAGCTGTGTCCAGCCGTCTCCAATCACAAGGTCGGCTAAAAGACCAGTGGCTGCGGACGAACAGCTTGAAACGGAATATGATTGAGATACTCACGGGAATCAATCCTTGGGGGTGCAGTTCCAGTGAAAAGTAATGAAAAGTAGGGGTGACATCCCAGTTCATAATGATTCTTACATGTTATTACAATGGCTATGCCCAGTAATATCCCTTTTCCTGCACCTCCAAGTCAAAAGATGTCTTCTGGTAAACACCGTTGTTCACAAACATCGGAGAAATGTGCATGATTTGCCGATTGAAGATGGGAGATGAGGGACATTTCATTCAAATTCGCAAAAAAATAGATAACTGTTCCTCGAAATGGCATCCGGCTGGAGAGGCTGGTTGAACAAGTTGGCCCCCCTTTTGTATCAACCCTTTTCCTTCGCAATTCATCAGCACAAGCCTGCCAATTCATGATGCAACCCAACCAGGTTTCATCATGCGGGGCTCAAAACAAGGTACCAACTGACCAACTTTATCCAGTTGTACCACCATTTCTGGTTGGAAAATGCTCTATTGGTCACACAATTCACAATAAATCCGTCAAATTTATGGTGACTGGATCCATTTATATCTTGATAATCCACGCTCTTCCCAAGCTTATAAGCAAGATCATTTAGAATTATATTCTTGGCATCTCAAGCATCCCAACCATATCCCAAGAATATCTATGGCCCAATCCTCCATGCTTTACCCATTCCACCCGTCCTGCCCCAGCAGCTGCTGCAGCAGCGGCCCTGCCAACAAGGCCTCACAGCTCCCCAAGCCGTCGCCCAACGAGAGACGCAACGCGCCCGCGCCCGCGGCGGCGACGACAGAGGCCTGAATGACGTAGAAACGGAGCAACACCTGGCCGATGTTCTGGGAGATTTCATGGGATTTCATGGGATTTCATGGAGATCCCCCCCAAGGTCATGGAATTTCATGGGATTTTCATGGGAAATTTTCAAAGTTGGTTGCTCTCAGAAAATAAGAGCTGGATGATTTGAGGTGGATCTTTAGAACTTGAAGAAAACCAAGAAAGTGACATAACTGTGGGGCCCACTTTGGGGCCTTCCTTTTCCAGCATGGAAATCACCATCCAGGATACTCCCCAGCCGTTTAGCCGACCAAACAATTGAGCCTTTTTAGACCTTCAAGCCCAACAACATCCCCATTGACAGCAAAAAAAGACTGTTCTTGTTTCGCTGGATATGAATTAGACGATCCTTGGGGCTGCAGGTCTAATTATAAGTGGATAGAAAATCATTTAAAAAAAAATGGTTACCGGGGTTATACCCTAAGTAAAAGATGGCTATAACAAGCTATAACATGCTATAACCTGCTATAATTAACCATAGTAATACTCATTTTTAGCCTCCACCGCATCCCCAAATAGTATTCCCACATGTTCACAAAATGACCCGCAAGATCAGATCTGTGCTGAGACGCTGGGACTATCCGAGTAATGCGATGCCAGTTTTGTGCCCGATTGAAGTAGTAGCGTGTTCCCTTGAAAAGTCTACCATCTGGTAAACTAACATAGCTATTGAAAATTGCCATTTATAGTAGATTTACCCATTAAAAATAGTGATTTTCCATAGCTATGTTAGTTTACCAGAGGGTAACCGGGTTTCGAATTGTGAAGAATTGACTGGGATATGTTCGCCGTTCTGAACCAGTTCAGTCGATTCATATACAATGTGTTTGCTGTTTGAAGCCTCCTCTTTTGTAAGGTAGATGCCAGTTGCTAACAAACACATCGCAATGGAACAGGCAACATCTGCAAACAAATTGTCCATGGCAAACGATGAGGTTTCACAGGAATGTGTACTGACTGGCGAGTAAATACTAGTGAAATGACTAGTGAATGGTTGTTCATAGGTCTATTTTGTTACACAAATGGAAGAACACCATGTTGAAATCAACTTTCTATAGAAACGTCAGAATGTCCAATATCCCACTAAAATACATTTAAACAATACCACACTAAATGGACAATTTGAAGCATCACTTCGAGGCGCCATTATATGCCATGGCAACGTGGCAACAGCTTCACCAGTGGCTTCTACCTTCGTTTCGGTTCCATATTTTTCTCACGAGTGCTTCGGTTTTGTTCCATTTGTTCCATCAATTAGTGACAGACTTTTTGTGAACTCATCTCAGTAATGAGTTTTGGTGAAATCCTCCTTGCTGATGGTTTAAGCCCAAGGTTGAAATATCGGCATGGATGAAAATTGGGTACCTCAACAGTGACATGTAGATGGTTAATACTAAAAATGGACATGCCAATCTGTGGCCTCCTTAGGTCTTCAATTTTGACCCATTCACACAGGATGTTTCCGTTCGGAATTTCCCATATCTGGATGACTTTCGCCCGCCTCCCTGCCCTCCCGCGCACGGCCCGGCGGCGGCGCAGCTGGCGCAGGGTTCACAGCCACAGGCGCGCCGCCGTCAGGCGCCTGGTGGGGTGAGGCCCAGCGATGTCATTTTGACCACCCATATGGATTGATGGTTTCTACCAGCCATAAAAAAGGAACATTTTGGGGATGGTTTACTATATACTATTACTTTACGAACATGAGTTGGTTTATACCATAGAATTATATAGAATTCACCGAGTGAACTTTGCACCAATTTATGTGGGTCAACTGAACGCCTGAACGGATATGGGAGCCTCACCATCCGTCATCACGAGGAGAATTTATAGGTGGTATGGTTGCCGTTCCCAGTCATGGGTGGTAAACATGGCATTGTTTTACCCACATTACAGCCAAAATCACAAAGACCTAAATGATCAGAGGATATAGCAATGTAGAACAGCCAGACGGTTCACACCTTGAACAACTTGGAAAAACATGGGATGTTCTCTCAGATTGCCACATTACATCCCGATGGGGATGTGGATGATGTCGAGCATCTACAAACGGGATAGCCCTGTAAGTAGACATTTATTGACATCAGGGACAATACAAGTAGAGGGTTTGGTTTCACTGTTGGCTCACCCGATGTTCACAACAGAGTCTGGGCAGACTTCTGGACTTCTGGTATGGTGTGTCTGAAAAGTGGATCTAAAAATGATTCAATTGTTTTTGAATGGTATAATCATGGTTTTGACAACATTTTTTTAAGATTTCGGGAGATGTTTCCCAACGTTTTGCAGGACCTGCATCATCTTCCCATAAAAGTCCCTGGATGCCCCAGCCTGGGGCACTGTTCCAAAGGCTTCCATGTGTTGGGGCTCCAACAGCAACCTCCAAGGTCCAGTGTTTCGAGTTTCAACGCGTCTTCACATTTGCACATGCATCTTACATGCATGTTCTTAGTAATATATTTGTGTATATTTGTGTAGACGTGTGTAAGATATGTATGTAAGTATATATTATATATATATAATCAAGACGTATTTTTGTATCTGTAGAATTCCGTGCACTATGTACATACCTGCCCATGGAAGATTGGCGCTGTTAGAAGCTGCAAAAATTGGCCATGGATGGTGAAAAATCCTATCCTGAACACCGGGAAGTAAAAAAATGCAACCCAAGAAAAGATACGCATGTCAAATTCTGCTAGTTTTCTTATATGTTTTGGGTGGTTGCTACAAGTACATAGGTCGTTTCTTTGTGATTGTCTTTTCATATCGTTGAAATCTTCAAGTAGTTTTCAGTACAAGGCATGACAAATTGAATACGGACTGACCATTGGGCCACTTTTCCAGGGTGAAAGTGCATCCCCAATTCACCGTGGATACAGTCTGCAAAGAAAGTGTTTCCTGGAATTTTCAACATTTTCAACCCAGGCATTGGAACATGACTGGGCTACCACTTCATTTTTCAGAAACTGACCCTCCGGCAAAGCAACATAGATGCGGCAACCCCACTAGATCAATGTAGATCATGTTCCGGACAGCTTTCCCCATGGCTTTTCCGGACATTGACGGTTGACCCAGGCTGGAAAATCCACCAATGCAGGGATTTCCCGGCCATGTTTGATGACTACTGGATGGTCGTGTGTGAAAAAGAAACTGAGAAATGAACAAGGTGAGGCCCCGTAGATAGCTAATTGGTTTAAGGTTCACCAGGTGATATATCTAGTTTCTTCATTGCTTCTATGATAGATATATCATCTTTTTTGTTAGTCTATGGGCCATTTATGGCTTTACAAACCAACATTCACATACCCTCTGGTAAACTAACATAACTATGGAAAATCACCATTTTTAATGGGAAAATCCACTATAAATAGCCATTTTCAATAGCTATGTCAGCCATTACCAGAGGGTAACTGGGGGCCCAAAAACCTTCTAAGATCAGCACACCTTCCATCCGATGTGAAGCCCTACCCCACACCCATCCCCCAACCAAGCCACAAACCACGCCGCAGTAGCGGTCGATTGCCCAACAGCAACTTTGTGCCTTGGCCACACCACCAAGACCAGGGCGCTCCTGAAAATCCCCAAGGAATACACAAATGATTGCGAAAAGTGTGTGTTTGCACAAACAAATGAGGAAATAACTTGGGGGTGTAATGATATTTTATGGAATTTTCATAAGTTAAACAAACAGAATAAGGACAAAACTACTGTAATTGGTGGTTGCACCACTCCCCTTTGAAAAATGTGCGGGTCAATTAATTCCACAACTGATGCTGGGTTTTACTAATATCCTAAACCACCGATCAGTCATCAGTGCAACTTTCCTGGCTCTTCTCCAGTTGTACTGGCTTATGTCCAATTGTACCCACATGTTTGCTTGGCAAATTCCCTCATGTTGTAAAAAAATCAGAAATCGTCAAAATCTAAATATAGATCCGTACAAATCCATGTAGACCCATATAAATCCATAAAAAACGTATAAATCATTATAAATCCACAATATAAATATCCGATCTCTGCTGAGTCAACTCTCCTTTTTGTGCCAAAGTCTTCCATGGGCCGCGGCCGCGCGATCGCCCAGAACGCACTTGGAATATGGGAATCAGAATGGTACACATTCCGAATGGTTTTAGTATGTTTTAGCATATAAATTTTCATATACCTCCTCAAAGTATTCAAATGATGAGAAACCTGTCGTATCAAGCGTTTTTTGGTGTCTGAAAATGGGTCGTATATAAACCTCTAGCGATCTGGCCATGTAACCAGTCGGGATAGCCATTGACGCCCCACAAAATCTAATCCGATGGATTGAGGGAAAAACACGATTTTCAGGCAAACCTAGATTCAGTCATACTATTAAATGATGAGGAACTAGTACCTAAGCCTATGTTAATACATGTTAATACACTCAGAAAAAATCCATATATATCCATATTCTCTGATGTCAAAGTCATATAATCCATATTCGAAATCTAAAGTGCCAAAATCACTATGATTCTAAGTGTATCTAGAAGCTATGACTAGTAGAAAAGCTGTGATGTTGGTAAAACAATGCCATGTTTACCGCCCATTTGGGAATGTTAACCATACAACCTATAAAAATGCTGACAACTGGGGGATGGTTTATGAAATTCGTTTACCCACATTACAGCCAATATAACGACATCATTGTTATCATTATTGTTACTATGAAGATGATCATCTATTGTTCTGATGATCTTATATGTATTGATATCAAGTATTATTAAAGGATGTAAGTTTACCATTTACCTAACATACCTCCTAATAAGGAAAAAAACATACAACCTATCAAGAGCCACCTATTAAAACACTATCAATCACTATATTACCTGAAAATACCACCTATTCAAAAAAAAACTACGCATTCACCGGTAAAGCATACTTTACTTCTGCGCGCCGCGCCTGGCACCGCCGCACGCAGTTGCGCGATGGGCCGGCGCTCGATGCCGCAGACCGCTTGGGCACCGTCGGTGAAACAGACCTAAAATGTCAGCGACCGGTGGTTTATGGATGTTTATGGTGCATATTTTCTCATTGAAACCTCCATTTATAGTGGGAATAGTGGGAAAAAATGGGGGAACAACATATACAGCTAGGGGTATGGTGGGGTATAAGATGATCATCCCTTTACCCGTGGATGTATATGGCTATCAAAAGAAAGATGTTGATGTTATCATGGGAATATGAAGGTTATATAGATTGATATATGTGAATGACGATCCTATTTCACTAAGCTGAAAATAACTGAAGTAAAGCCACGATTCCATTTGGAAGGGGACATATGATATTATAGCAACCCCCGAAAGGATAGCAAAGTAAATCTGACTAAAAACGTTATAATTCACTGTTCTATCTTTTGGCTGGTTGCCATATGTCAGTATGATGTATGTCTATATAATGTGTATATATATATATATACACATACTCATCTATAGATACAAAATACTAAATCATTAGTACTAAATATGTGTGTGGATGTGATATATGCCATATAAACATCGATATTGAGATTCACAGTGCGAATGTAAAATGATTTGTTTGGGATTGGAGGGATATCATATAATAGTAGACAACATGGAGATTCTTGTGACGGTTCCCGGGCCGTCGTGGGGGACCCAAAGTTGCCGTATCATTCACGTCATTGGCCATGCTCAATGGGAAGACCAATGATGATACAACATGGACATGAATCTGGACATCAGATAACCCAAATTGGAAAGGATTATCATGGATACATGTATACAAACAGTACATGTTGATAATATTATATATATGTACAAATATATATGTATAGTATATATATATATACATATTATGTGTGTGTGCATATGTATGTATATACATATATATATATATATCCGAAATGTATACGAGATGATGTCCCCAACAATCGATATATTCCCCATGAAAGCCAGCATCTTTTTTTTAAGCGTCCTATTTGGAGCGTTTTCTCGGATGGTATCATCCCATCTTCTTATTGGAAAATTTCTCTGGGAACAAGGCACAAACCACCAGTTGCCACTAAGGAAAACCACCAGTTGCCACCAACCAGTACAAGATTATGGCAAGATTATGGCAAGAGGGTCGTTTTCCTATTGTTTGGTGCTTGGAGGATCCTCCCATTTAGTAGTTAAGAGCCCTGCTTCAGAAGTCCCCTGGGCTGGTTATCCTATTGACAACTGGGGAAACTTATAGCACATGGGTAAGCAATTGGTTATTCTATTGATTATCCTATTATATTGTACATGGATATGGATGTGGGTCAAAATGGAAGACCTAGGGGACCACAGATGTTAGTTTAGTTTAGTATTAACCATCCAATTATTGGGGTACCTAATTTTGACCCATACCCATATGATGTGATCCTCCAAGTGCTGATTTGCCCCATTTTCGTTGCTGAAATCTCCCCCCTTGACCGCCGTCCTTCAACATCTTCTGCCGCCGCGGCCGACGCTCCACAGTCGACTGAGCGTCGTCGACCTCTTCTTCTCCTGCGGGACAGGGCGGGACGGCAGATGCGCAGATTTTTGTTGGATAAATGTTGGTTTATGACTAGGCCAACTAAGGTTTATATAGTCTATATATCTGGTTGGGGTTTCAACCCCTCTGAAAATATTAGTCAGTCGGGATTATTATTCCCAATATATGGAAAAATGAAAAATGTTCCAAACCACCAACCAGATATATAATTATATAAATCAAACTAGTTCATGGGGGTAAAAAAAAACATCCAATTATAGAAATAAATTGATGAGCATCCATACATCCCCTGCATGACTGGGTTGTAAGCATGGTCCTGATTACCACATAGCAACTGGAATGCATGTCCAAGTATGATAACTCTCATGAAGTGACTACATGAAAAACTGGTGGACTTTTGTTTGTTCAACCCCCAAAAGCTAGGAGATCTGCGATCTCCCACGGGCAAAAAATTGATGATTTCATGGGATGAAAAAACTTGGTTTCTGAGTCTCATGACTAGGCTTTTTGTGATATACATATTACATATCTATATATATATATACATATGTAGACATATTATACTGAAGTACAAGAACTGGGAGGCTATAAACTTAACTTGGGTAAGGGGGCACCAACTTCTACTGGACTAACATATTTTTTAGGGCATGTCCATCTCTAATCCACTATTTGCATCACCATCTTGTGGCAAAATGGGCCATTTCATCTGCCATAAATCGCCTAATTTTGGTATCGAAATTTACGAGTTTACCAGTGGAATTTCCTAATGTTTCCTGGTTCACCACGTTTTTGCCAGCAAAATCTGCCAAAGTGGCTGATTTATGAGGATTTCCCTTATTGAATTGTGATAAATTGGGGATTCCCTCATTTCATATTGTTGGTTGGATTATATAGAAGAAACCCTATCTCATATTGCTGGTCATATAAACATATACCTCTGGTCATTGGACAGGTTGCTATGGAAAATTGCCCATTTGTATAGATGATTTACCGGTTTCTACAGTGGTGATTGTCCATAGTTATGTTAAATTACCAGATGACAAAATCAATGGCATCCCATTAATTCCGCATTTGTTGAAGGTCAAACGACATTTGTTCGATGGAATCCCCACTAAATTCGTAAATATATATATATACATATACATATAGTATATATACATATACATATACAGTAGTATATATATATATACATATAGTATATATATATGTATATATACACCGTGCATATATATATATATATAGTGTATATATAATATTATATAATATATATGATTATATATGTATAAAAAAATATTATATAATATATATATAATGTATAATATGTATTATTATATATATACATATTATACATCATAATTTAGATATTTCTTGTTATTTTTCGAATATTTACCATCTGGTCATCACACCTGGATCCTGTGCGCTAGGATTGGCGATGTCGACCATCTCCAGGATCTGCACCAAGTGCTGCCTTGGGAAGTGGCCAGTTGGTAAGGACTTCCCAGTGGTAGGTTAGTTGGTTAAACCCAGTGATGAGGAAGTGGATTTCCAGAGTCATGGGGGTACCCCAATAGCTGGATGGTTTAGGGAAAATCCATGAAAATCCGAAATAAAAATGGAATTTTAAATAGGGTGCCCCCATGACTTAGAAAACCTCCATATGGAGGTTTTCTAAGTCATGTCTGTACCCCCAAATCATCATTCTAGTATTGAAACCTATGGTTTTGAGGATCCCCCATTTTAGTAAACCTCCATACCTCACCTTGCATCATTCTTCCCAAACGGCCCATGCGGGGGCGAACATTCCAGTTTCAGACCCTCCAAAATATCATATTACTGGTCATACATTCCATGCTGTTGCCATCAGTATAGCTCAAATCTCACTGTTGTTTGAAGATTTATTTGACTATCTAGCAGAATTACTGTTCACTAAGTCACTAACTTGAAACAAGTTGTTCTCATACGGCCATTTGTGGATGATTCCCATCCAATTCCCATCATTCTGGTGACGTCACGACCTGAAGTCATTCTGACTTTATCCCAAACTCATCTGCCTGAGCCCTGCTCAGCCCTGGGTTTCGCTCCCAGCGCCTGAGACACCCATGGTTGCGTTTTTTTTTGCTTTTCCCATGGTTTTTCCCATGTTTCCCCCATGACATCATGGATTTTCCCATGGTTTCAGCCTGTTTCGCCCAAGCTACCCCTCGAGCTGCACGTTGTGCTGCCTCTCCAGCGCCGCCGGCAGGGAGCCCTCGCAGGCATCGCGCAGATCTGCCGCCAGCAGGCGCTGCAGCAGCGTCGAGGCGTCGACGCCAGCATCGGTCAACCAGCTGGGGCGCAGACGCAC